ATCTCGTCCTGGGGTGGGGGCGGCCGGCGGTGGAGCTGGTGGGGGGGTTCCGGGACTGGGCAGTCCCGGGGCCGGGGTGTCCAAGGGTTGGGGGAGGAGAGGGAGGTGTCCTGTGGCCGGGGATGGTCCCAGTGCCAGGTGGGTCCCTGCACCCCTCACCCTGTCTGAGGAGATGCCAAATCTCCTTCCCCGGGAGAATGTGAGGTGGCACTGGGGGTGTGGGGGTGACACCCCTATGGGAGAGCGAGGCAGTTCCTCGTCTTCCATTTTTGTCCGATATCCCCCTTTTTTTCCCGTGTTTCCCTCCCTTCCCCAGACAGCCTCGGCTGGGTGACCCTGCTGGAGCTGAACGCAGGGAGAGGCTCCCCTGGGGGGGGCACCCCCGCCATGGAGTCCCCCGCCCGTGTCTGCTCCTGCGGCTCCCCTGCCTCTGACAGCGAGGTCGAGGCTGGCAGCTCCCCCCGGAGCCCCCCCAAAGCTGAGCGCAGCCGCAAGCGCCCGGGGGGGCTGGACCGAGCACCCCCTGAATCGCCGCCATCACCCCGCGGGGGGAAGCGCCCGCGGAAAGGGGAGGGAGGGGATGTCCCTCCCAGCGACGGTGATCGCCTCTTTGCCCAAAAGGTGAGGTTTTGGCAGAAGAGAAAGGGGCACCCCCAAAGATGGGAGGTGGGAGGAGGGCTTGGTCCCCTAAAAAAAAAAACCTGTGTCTGCCTCAGTTTCCCCACCTGAAACGGGTGGGTAGCGATGAGCAGGATTCGGGGGCCGAGAGAGTGGTAAGTGGGGCTTGGGGGGGTGAGGGGGGATAAGGGGGTGCACGAGATCCCCTTCCCAGTCTGGATGCAGCCTGGTCACCTCCTGCTCCCCTTCCTCGCAGTGCCGGGAGCTCCGGGGCTTCATCCGGCCGCTGGCGGAGCTGCTGGAGGGGCTGCGGCGGGGCCGGTACGACAGAGGTGGGTGCCCCCCGCAGCTTCTTCTCCCCCAGGCACCTCTTTCCCCCTGTGGAAAATTCACACCATTTCGGGACTCCCCAGGGCTGAGCAGCTTCCAACAGAGCGTGGCCATGGACCGGCTGCAGCGGATCATTGGGGTCCTGCAGAAGCCAGAGATGGGGTGAGTGTCCCCAGACGTCCCCGGGGGACGGGCAGGGGACACCCTCGCGGGTGCCCTCCCTCCGCAGAGGGTGACAGGAGCTGTCTCCCCGCAGCGCCCGGTACCTGGGGACGCTGCTGCAGGTGGAGGCGATGCTGCGGCTCTGGTTCCCCCACGTCTCCCCCAAACCCGCGCTGGACCCGGTCCCTGCCGCGGCTCCCCCGCGCCGCCGCCCCCCCGCCGGTCCCCCCGGGGCTCCCCGGTGCCGCCGCCTGCCCGGGGACCTCCCCGGGGACCTGCCTGTCGCCAGCCCCGCAGAGACCTTACAGCAGCGGGGGTCCCCCCAGTGCCAGGCCGGGACCCCCGAGTCCCCCCCGGCGCCGGACGTGTGACGCCCCCCCCGGCTCGGGGGGGGGAGATCTCGTCTACATTTCTTGGTTTTGCCTTTTTTGATTGTTTTTTTACCGGTGGTCAGTGAGACCCGCGGGCGGGAGGGACTGACCGGGGGGGCCCGAACCCCCCCAGGAGCCCCAATCCCGGGGCGGCCGCGTGCCTTGGCCAGAGCGGAGCCCCCTCCCCGCGGGGGCCGGGCCCTCCCGGGCTTGTGCCTTCCCCCGTGGCCTGGGGTGGCTGGGGGTGACTGTGGCTGAGGGGTGTGGACCCCCCGAGCGGGGGTGTCCCACAGCCGGCCCTGCTGGAAGCAATAAACGCCGCGGGAGCGGCCGGGGCCATCCGGTGTCGTGTCCTCTGTCCCTTGGGAGGGCGCGGGTGGGTTCCTGTCCCTGGGCGGATCCTGTCCCCAGGGGGCTCAGAGCCGTCCCCTCCGCTGTGGGACCCCGAGTGCCCGCGGTGCCTCCAGTCCCGGCTCCGGGCGGGCCTGGCGGGAGGGAGCGGCCCCCGGTCCCGGTCCCGCTCTGCCCCGCCGGAAGTTCCCGAGTACCGGAAGTTCCTCCCAACGGAAGTTCCGCCACAGCAACTTCCGGTCCGGGCGCGGAGCGGCCGCGGCTTCACCGGGGTCAGTTGGGGAAGGGAGCGGGACCGGGACCGGGACCTTTCGGCCGGGGCTCTGCCGGGAGCGGCCTGACCAGGGCACGCCGGGGGCGGGGGGAGGCCCGGGGCAGCGCCCCGACAAGGCCGTTCGTGGGGCGGGGGGGTCCGTGTCTTGTTCCCTTGGGGCTGTGCGGGAAGGACCGTTCCCTCCGTTCCCGAGGTTCCCTGCCGTGTCCCGGGGCGGGGGGCACGAGGGACCGGCTCCTCCGAGCCCCGGGGCCGCCCGGTCCCAGTCGCCGCGTCCCCCAGCAGCGCGGCCATGGCGAACCACCTGCGCTTCGTGGGCCGCACGGTGATGGTGCAGAACGGAAACGTGGAGGCGGCGTACGGCGTCCTGAACAGGTGAGCACCGCGGAGAGCCCCGGGGCCAGCGCTCCACAGCCCGCCTCTGGGCCCGGAGAGGCCCCAGTTCCTTTACTGGGTTCAGAACCAGAATTTCATGAGCAGAAGGGTACGGGAGGGTCGTGCCGGGTTTTTCTCACCAGCTCCACGTCCCGCCGCCCCCTCGCATGCGGGTGTAAGTAGCGAGAAATACAGGAATAGCTCAGCACAGACCCAGGCGAGGGCAGCGGAGGAAGAGACGGTGCCACCGCTGAGCTGTGTGCGATCGCTGGTCCCACCTGAAATGAAACTCGGGGAGGATTCCTTCCCCTCCTCACGGAAGGACGGGAGGAGAAGGAGCTGAGGGTCCCCGTGGGGACCGAGCTGTGCCCGGGGTTTGCAGCGTGGGGTGCTCGTTCCTCCCCTCCTCGCACATCCCAGAACTGTTCCTGCCGCTGTCACCGCTCTCTCCCTCCCGCAGGATCCTGGCTCAGGACGGCGTGGCCGATGCCGTGCGGCGCTCCCGGTACTACGAGAAGCCGAGCCGGGCGCGGCGGCGGCGCGCGTTCGAGGCGTGCCGGCGGGTGTACTGCGCCGAGATGGCGCGCAGGATCGCCTTCCTGGCGCGGAGCAGCCGGCAGGACCCGTGGCTGGGCTGCTAAGGCGCGGCCAGCCCAAATAAAACCCTCTCGCTCTGCTCCCCGTTAATTGAGTTTAATTAATGACGGCGCGAGGGGAGGGGCGGGCTCGGTGGGCGGGGCCAGGGGCGGGGCTGAGCGCGCGCCGGGCTCCGCCCCCTGGTCGGGTTCGCCCCTCCTTCCCGGCACCCCCCGCGCGCTTCGCCGCGCACGCGCCGCGCGCCCGTTTCCGCTTCCGCCCCGACGCGCCGTCACCGTCAGGGGCCGCCGGGCCGGGACCGGGACCGGCGTGAGGGAACGGGGCCGGTGAGGAAAACGGGGCCGCCCCGGAGGGCGTGGAGGGAGCGGGGAAAGCGGGCGGGCTGCCGAGAGGGAGAGAGGAGGTGGCGTAAGTGGCCCCGGGCCCGGCCCGCGCGGAGCCGCTCGCCCGGCGCGCCCCGCTGAGGGGGCCGGGCCGGGCCCGGGCGCAGCTCCGCGGCACCGGGGGGTGCCGGGCCCTGCGGGGCCGCCGCGGTGTGCGGGACCGGGGGCGGCAGGAGCCCGGCGCGGTCGGGCGGTGCTCGGGTACGAATTCATCGATCCTGGTGCGGGTTACGGGGCTCCAGCGCTGCGGCTGCTGGAGCTGCTCCCCGCGGTGGCTCTGCTCTCCCGGTGTTACCGGGAAACACCCGCGGAGCCGCCGCTTCCCCTGCAGCTCTTCGTGGGAGCTGAACCGGCTCCAATTACACGAGTTCTGTGGGTTATTACGGACACGCTCAGAGCTGTTGATGCGTGGGGGGCCGTAATTCATTAGTTGTGCTTATCCTCGGCCTCTGCAGGGTCAGAACTCGTGGGGGAAATGCCAGGATCCAGGTTTGGGCTCTGTTTGAACCTGTGTCTAAAGAAGCTGCCAGGAAAAGTAGAACCTGTGTTCTACAGGCTCTGGAGGGGGGCCGGACCCTGCAGGAAGCAGCAGTCACCTCCTGGAACTGCTCACAGACCTGAAACCAGGGGCTCTCTGTTAGAACTGACCCCGGGGCCCCACTCCCGGCTCCAGGAAGGATAACTGAACCCCTGGATCCCAGTTCCAGGAAGGACAGCCTGGTGTCCATTCCCACAGCCCCACAGGGCTCCTGTGAGAGGGAGCGCCGCGGTCCAGCTCATCCCTAAGGAGATTTTCCCAGATCCGATTTGGGCCCGGAGCCAGTTGAGAGCAGGTGCAGCCACAGCCCGGGCTGTGAGTGCTGCAGGGTGGGAGGGGATGGGGCTGGATTTGGGCTGCACTTGGGGAAGGGGCTCACACTGGACCTCCCTGGCACGGCACCGGGGCTTCTCCTGCCCCACCTGTTCCACTCGCAGTGCAGCTCTGCCCAAGCCCTGGAGCAGCCCCACGCAGGGATCTGCGGGCTGGAGGCCTTTCCCACTGGGCTTTGTCACCGTGAGGGGCTGTCCTGAGAGCAGATGTTCCCGGGCTGGTTTTGGAAGCACAGGAACGCTGCGGTGCATCCCTCTGGGATCTGAGAGGGAACGCGTGTGGGAGCAGCAGGTCCAGGGTCCCCTGGGGGGGTCAGGACCTTCCTCCTCATGGGGTTTGGCTCATTTTAGCTCAAAGTTTAAAATCAAGAGAACACAAATGGTCTCTAAGAGCTTTTCCCGCACGTGTACCTGATCCTGAGGAAGAAGGGCGTGGAGGTGACGATGCTCTGGGACCCTGTTTTATTTCCTTTGTCTCCTTCCAGCTGCGAGCTGGGGGCTCCGCTCAGCCCGAGCAGAGATGTCGCTGTCCAAGCGGGAGCTGGACGAGCTGAAGCCATGGATCGAGAAGACGGTGAAGCGCGTGCTGGGCTTCTCGGAGCCCACCGTGGTCACCGCGGCGCTCAACTGCGTCGGGAAGGGCATGGACAAGAAGAAAGCAGCCGGTACGTCCGGAGCTGGGTTTGTGAAACAGCCCAGACCTCCCCAGGGTGGAGGGGCAGGGGCACAGGGCAGTTCTCCCAGCCTCCACGAGGTGAGTACAGGCAAATCCATCAGACCAGGCGCAGCAGAAAGCTTTGGAATACGTTACAAAATCAGAGCAGTAGAAGCTAATTCCTTATTCAAGGAACTGAAAATGGTAATTTAACTAGGGTGCTTTTTTTGCCCATTACAGCCCTGCTTTGCCCAGACTCCCTTAATCCCTTAGTTTAAAGCTCCTGACGACATGATCCACAGCTCCCAGAGGCTTCCAGAGCCTCAAAAGCCTCCCTGTGTTTGTAGAGTTGAATCACGCTTAAATTTAGGTGGTTTAAATCTTCCAAGGAATCTCTGTGGATTCTCCATCCTCCTGCTCACCTCAAGCTCAGAATTTTGCACTGATAGGATTTTCCTCTCTTCCAGACCACCTTAAACCCTTCCTGGATGATTCCACCCTGCGGTTTGTGGACAAGCTCTTCGAGGCAGTGGAGGAAGGACGAAGCTCCCGGCACTCCAAATCCAACAGTGACCGGAACCGGAAGCGGGAGCTAAAGGTGATTATTGATTATTGATTGGTTTTTCCTGTGGTTGGGTGGCCTGGAGGCAGCACTGGTGCTCTGGCACACTCTCCTCTTCCAGAGAGGTACAGCTCGGAACGTTCAAGAGAAACGACTCCTCTCCATGATGAAGTGTGGGAGCCTTTACCTTGCGGTTCTCTTTCCCAAAGCCGAGGTGGGAGCCTGGCTTTGGCTTTCTTTAGGCTTGTGGAGTGAATCCATGGGGATCCATCTCCCTTCTTCTCAGGGCTCCTTGTGCTTGTATTTTCATGTGGAGCCTGGGACAGCTGCTCCCAGTGACTTCCCACTGCTCCCTGCGCCCTGATGCAGCGTGTGGGGCTCTGGTGGATGATCTGGGGAGTTTTCATTCATTCCCTTTCTCCACCCAGAAGGAGCAACAGGTGGTTGTGGCAACTCCTGTCCTAGCACAGGATTGATTCCAGCTGGGATTCCATTGCTCTGGTGTTTCTCCCTTGCCTGGTATGGTGGAAGTCTTGTGCATCCAAAGCTGTTTTCACTTCCTTTCTTCTCTTGAGGACTTTTCTCAGCATCCTGTAGAATTGAATTTTCCCATACTCTGCCAGGTCTGACGGGCCCTCTCCGTGCTGCTCCTACTCACAGTGATTTTCCTTTCACTCTTCCTGGGGTCCTATTTCACAGCAGTCTGGGTTTCCCCAACACTTGCAGTCAGCACTGAACCTTGGTGAGCCAGAAGAGTCCCATTCAGGATCTGGATCTCTTTGGGAGTGTTGGGACGAGCTGGCTCCGCTCCCTGTTTTCCACTAGGGACTTGTTTTCTTCCCTCCCTGGCAGTGGGTGCCAGGCTGGGCCCTGGGGCTGTGGGAATGTCAGGGGCTGGAGGTCCAACTGCCCCCCTGGGCCTGCTCAGGGGCACGGCAGAGGTGGGGACACTGGCAGTGCCATCACTTGATGATGGCAGGAGCGTGGTGACAGCCCGCTGGGGTGGCTGGAGAACACGTGCTGGCAGAGGGATCTGGTGATGGCAGCAGGAGCAGGGCTGGGGATGCAGCAGGGGACCCAGTGAAACCACAGAGGTGTCTGGCCTGAGCACTGCTGGTGTTCCTGGCTGAGCCACAAGTTGAGCTAGGCAGCAGCAGCAGAAAGTGATCCTTCTTCTCTTGGCTCCTGGCATGGAGAGGGGTGTTCCTCCTGCCAAATCTTCACTCTTCTCTCTGGAATCGCATTTCTTGGAACTTCTCCATCCCGCTCTGGGTCTGTCTGGACCCTGCAGGCACACAAAGCGTCTCTGAGGTTGTCAGGTCACGGCAGCACTTGCAGACTGAGTGACCCTGCCCCAGCACAGGCTGCGGAGAGGAATTTGTCCTGGCACATGTAATCCCGTGGCGTCGGGCAGTGATGATTCCAGGGCCACTTGCCGTGCCACTTCCCGCTCCTCGGTTCGCTCTGGGGTAGGTCATGGCTTGGGAAGGTCAGGAACTGAACGTAAAGTTTCCACACTTTATACTATGGGCAAGTCCTTTCTCTTGAACTTGTAGGTTTTCCAAGAAGTACCTGTGTGGCTGAGGAAGTGTCCTTGTAGGATATGAACCGTTGTAGTGAAGAAGGGATTGCAACTAACGCTCCCAACCGGTGTGTATACTTTCTTTTCAAATAACACCTTGACACACACACTAGAGTAACCCACCGCACGGACAGATCCAGGCTTCCATACACAGGCACTGACCATGGAATCCACAGCCACAGGTGCTGGGCCTGACTAGAGCTCTGTGGAAAACGTACTGTGCCTTTTGTTTGGTGACCTGACGCTGCTGAAAGCCCATCAGCAGGGCCACTGCTCCGTGTGCTCGCTGAGCTCTGCTTCTCTGGAGTGGCTCCGGCCTTGGATCTGAGCTGGAGTGGTCTGGGGTGGAGTGTGAGGGAATGCTGCAGGTGTCCCAACCCTCCCCGGGCCCAGGGCCGCATCCTCCTTCTGGGAGGACTGCATGGTAGGACAGCGCAGATTCCTTCACCAAACCCTCTCAAGCTGGTGGAAGACGTGGAAATGTTTTTATCCCAGTCAGATCAGCTCTGGGCAGGCTTTTTCTGTCTTTCCACGTCGCTGAGACCTTCAATCTGCTCAGTGCCAGTCCCCCCGACACCCGAGGGAGCGGTGGTGGCTGTTAGGCAGCACAACCCTGCGATGGCTCCTGTCCTTCACGCTCTTGCGTGGACGTCATTGGTGTTTCTCTGGAGGGGGACCAGGGCCCAGGCTCGGCGTGGGCTCAGCCTGCACGTGCCGCCCGGAGTTCTGCGTTATGGAGCTGGAGCTGAGACATGCCGGTGGTTTCTCACCTCAAATCCTGCTCTGGGAGGAGAACGCTCTGTTCTAACCACAGCCTTCTGCTCTTTCTTTACGTTAGGATGTGTTTGGCGATGACTCTGAGGTGTCCAAGGAATCCTCTGGCGTCAAGAAGCGGCGCATCCCACGGTTCGAGGAGGTTGAGGATGAGCCCGAAGTGATTCCAGGCCCGCCGTCAGAGAGCCCAGGGATGCTGACGAAGCTCCAGGTCAGTGTAGCTGGGCCATGTCCCAACACGGGGTAGAGTTTCTTCTGACTCGT